CTGCTCTACATTGTGAGCTCTAGGATAGCCAAGGCTAAGATGTTTTCTTCCCACGGGCTCTACTTCTCCAGGGGCAGCAGTTCTGGTGATGTTCTGCCAGGGGGCACCCTGATGGCCTGGCAGGGTCTTCTGTGTAGCCTGATGGTAAAGGGGTTGGCGCAGAGGAGCCTGCTTTCTCATACTCCTTCCAGGGGAACTCAGTCAGTGGCTCTCAGTGTCAGGAGAAACAGGGGTGGAGGTTAAAGTCCAAGGACCAGCTTGGTCTCTTAGGTTGTCTTGGCAAGGGTCCTTATTGTCTATCCATCTCAGTAGGAGGTTCCTGTCAGAGCTGTGGGAGAAAGGGAGTGAAGCAGCCAGCTGACGCCAGCATCCCCTCACTTGTCTGAGTCCATTCTCATCTCTGCTGTGAAAGCTCTAGGGAGGCAGAAGAGTTTCCAGTTTGTTCACCTGTGTCCCTGGTACCTCAACATAATTACTCTCTGTTGCAAAACAGTGGCATTCTGTTGACAGCGAATGAAGAGTGTGCCTTATTTAGAGCCCAGGCGGATTTGCAGCTGGCAAGGGTAAGGGCTGGGGGTGTGACTCGGTTGGTAAGGTGCTTGCTTAACACAGAGAGGCTCTGCATTTGACCCAAGCACTACAGAAACTCGGTGCGGTGGCGCGGGCCTGAAATCTCAGCACTCAGTGGCAAGAGTTCAAGAAACCCGCTGCTACAGATAGAGCTTGAGGCCAGCCAGGGATTCAGGGTCTTTTTTGTTGTGTTCTGACAAGGTCTTTGCTGTATTGCTCATTTTATCCAGGATGACATCGGTGGCCTTGAACTTGATGATCCTTCTGCCTTGATCTGCTGCGTAGTTGGGGCTTTGGATGGACTCCAGCTAAGGATCAAAGGCAGGTGCACTCTGCTGCTGAGCTGCACTCTAACCCCATGTGCTATCCTTCCTAAGAGAAGAGTTTGCTTGGATCAAAGAGCAAAACAGGTGAGGCCATTGTGATGGCTTTGCCAAGTGGATGTGGATGAGGCACTTCCCTTTAACACAAGGAGAAGAGCCGGCAGGAATAGAAGCCAGAACCTGTGCAGCCAGTGATCAGCATGTGTGGATATTCTTACATGAAGACAGGCACACAGACACACATGTAGAAGTCTGTCCTCCCTCCATCAGTGGTCACGTGGGAGCCACCAGCGAGGATGAGGCCATCTCACACTGGGGCCGGACAGGACACCTGGGCTATGTCTCCTTCCTTTTCTATTTTTTTTTAAATTCATTTTACCTCTTAAGAATGCCCCCTCCTTCCTTTCCTTCGAGTCCTCCCCTTCCCTCTTCCGCTGTCCCTTTCCCCCCAGAAAAGGAGAGCTCCCCTCTCCCCCATCAACCTTCCTCAGCACATCAAGTCACATCAGGACTGAGCACATCTTCATCCCCTGAGGCCAGGCGAGGCAGCCCTGCCAGGGGGAAGTGACCCCAAAGCAGGCAGCAGAGTCCATGGTAGAAACAGTCTCCCCTTCCACTCACCAGGCACCCCATATGAAGACCAAGCCTCCTCCCACCAGCCACATGTGTGCAAGAGGCCTAGGTCCAGATGGTGCATGCTCCTTAGTTGATGTCAGTCTCTGAAAGCCCCCATGGGACTGGATTAGTTGTCTCTGTTGGTCTTCTTGTGAGGTTCCTGTCCTTTCCAGGTCCTTCCATCTTTCTCCCAACACTTCCACAGGACCCCCAGAGCTCTGCCCCATGCTTGGCTGCAAGTCCCAGCATCTGTCTTGATCTACTGCTGGCTGGAGCCTCTCAGACTATAGTCCAGTTAGGCTCCTGTCTGCAAGCATAGCAGAGCATCATTATTAGTGTCAGGGGCTGGCTCTCTACCAGGGGGTGGGTCTCAGGTTGGGCCAACTATTGGTTGGACTTTCCCTAAGTATTTGTTCTCTTGATATCCCTGCACTCCTTGCAGGCAGGGCTAGTTTTGGATCACAGGTTTTGTGGGTGGGTTGTTGTTGTTTCCCTCCTTCCACTAGTCCTACCTGGCTAGGAGGTGGTCACTTCGGTCTTCATGTCTCCCCCTGTTAGGAGTCCCAGCTGGAGTCACCCCCATGTCCTCCCAGGAGCCTGTCTCAGGCCTCCAGCTTGACAAAGAGATGCCTCCCTCAGTTTCCCTTTCCTAGCCCTCTCTCTCACACACGCCACCCCATGTCTCCTTTCATATAAAGATGCTCCCAGGTAATATCCAAGCAAGGACAGTTGATTGTGTAAGTGTTGTTTGTATTTCTTCAGATGAGGGGATGAGATGAGAGCTGTACAAATACATGGCTTGGACTGAACCTAGAACGTTTCTATCTAACTATCCCTAGGCCTAGGCCTGGAAGCTTTTAGCCTTTGTTCAATCTAATCTTCTGCAAGGCCAGACCTTGAAGGCTTCAGCTTCCAGCCTTAGGTCTGCTAACCTAGACCTAGAATGTTTTTAGCTTTCGAGACTTACTGCTGAATAAGCTCATCCTTTCTGGTTCTTTCTGAACTCAGGCTGACTGGGTTCAACTCAGCTGTTCTGAGTTGAAAACTCCTCTCCAACCTGACTGATTCAAACTGGCTTCTCTTCACTTCTCACTGAATTGCCCTGCTTGGAAAAACTGCCTATGAACTGTACAAACTGAACTGAGCAGCACCCAACTGTACTATACTCCTGATTTCTACTCTCTTATTACCACAAACTCTCTTGCTCTCTCTCCCTGCTGCTCTTAAGTAGCTTCTCTTTCCTGTCTGTTCTCGTGAGAGTTGGGTATACCCTATCTCTGACTCATTCTGTCAGTTCTTTCTCTGATTCTTTGTTTTGTCTGCCCCTCAATTAGATGTCATTGAGATTAAAAGTGTGCACTAAATCCAGCCAGGGGATTAAGAGTACTGAGGGCATGTCTGTATTCTAGCCTGATTGACCAGACCTAGATCTTTGGATGTGATCCCTTTCGAGAACAGCCATGTTGCTGGATTAAAATTCCTTTACATGGTTGTGTTGCTTCTGGGGCCCCTGTGTGGGACACTTAAGAAATAAATCCTAATGAAACTGGCAAGCGTCCTCAGTCCAACCCAAGCACATGGCTGAAGTATCACGGTGCCCACTGGAAGCTTTGCCGGTTGGAGGAGCAAGCTCGCTGCAGGCTGAAGCTCTGACTAAAGCAAGGCACTGCACAAGGCAACCCGATATCAACCAGTTTCTCACGGCCCATCTTCCAAAGAGAGGCTGGTTCTCCTCAGAGACTGAGTGTGCTGTAGCAGGCTGTGCATGCTGCGCTGTGACTCCTGGAAGGGAGCTCGTGGGTAGGCAGGACAGCATCCCTGAGACCTGGGGGCTGGGGAAGTGACCACGGTGGAGATGATATTATTAACTCCCACTACTGTCCCTTCCAGCCAGCCTCGGGGTAGGAGCTTCCCCGGCATTTAATTCTCATTCTTCTCTTCCGTCTGCACGGAAAGACTGAAGCTCACATGTCACTGCCTGAGACAAAGTGACAATGTGTATTAAGTCAAATTAAATGAAGTAGTAAGTCCAATAGCCTCCTTGCTAGTGGCTAGGGCAGCTATACAACACTTCTGTGCTACAGGAAGTTTCCTGGAAGGTCTCACAGATTCACACAAGGTCACATTTCCCATAGGGAAGATCTAGAACCCAGATAAAGTCGGTATGACCTGGGGACTAATAGGGGCTGCCGAGTTAATTCGGCAACCCGGAGCCCCAGGCTTTTTACTTAGCTACTGATTCCGAGGCCATCTCAGGATTATTTATTTATTTTTTTTTTTTTCATATAAAGGTTTAGTCTTGGGGGCTGGAGCGATGGCTCCACCCCGCTTGGATGCATAGGCACCATTCAGGCTCATAGCGGCTGGAAATGAATACAGCTTGGTTCCTTTTGAACTGGGGGAGCCAAGACAAAGCGGACAAGAGCTTAGGCTCTGAGCGGCTGCTTGCTTTGCAGACTGTAGGTAGCACATCGCCTCCATCTGTGCCTCCCGGAGTCATTCATTCCACAAACACACTTTGAGCTCCAGCTAGAGTTAGGCACCGCTGCAGTTTCCAGAAACCCTATCTTTCGCCTCTCGGGGTTGCTAGAAGAGGTTTGAAGCTCCTTAAAGACCGAGCTGTTCGTTATCTGTGACAAAAAAGGGCCGTCTAAAAGGGATGGAGCCTATCGGATGGCCTCAGGCCAGGGCTCTTCAGCTGGCAGGAACAGGTCCCAGGTCAGAGAGGGGCGGACCGGGGCGGGGCGCCCGCCGGGTACTTGAGGTGGCCGCCAGAGGGCAGCCAGGGAGCGCGCCCGGCCAGGGGCGAAACCCCAGGTAAGTGTGGCTCAAGTGGGGTCGCCGCCCCTCCCCCCTCGGGGCCCAGTCTCCCGGGGCCCGGGTGTGTGTGTTTGGCTCCAGGATGGGGACCAGAGCGCGTGCCCGTGGTGGGCCCGGAGCTAGAGCGCAGATCCTGGAGATGTTGGAACCCGGGGTGGGAAGGTCCCTGAGCGCTGTTGGGGCGCGGGCAGGGCCTGCCTCCGAGCTGCCCTCCCGAGCTTGCCCGCCCTCTCTCTCCGCTGCCCGAGACTCCGGGCTGCACGCGAGCTGTCCCGGGACAGCGCCGCGGTCCGCTCCGCCGCCGCGCTCTCACTCCCAGGGTTCGGCCCGCAGCCTGGGGCGCAGGGTGCAGCTCGCGCGGCCCCGGGTCGGTCCCCGGCGCCGGGAGGCGCGGGGCCGGGGTGGCCGGTGGGGGAAGGGCGCGCGGGCGGCGCGGGCGGCAGGCGGCAGGCGGCAGGCGGCGCTGGGGCGAGCGCGCCCGCGAGCGAGTCAACAAGTGCGGAGCCCAGCGAGCGCGCACGTGCGTCGGGCGGGGCCTGCGGCGGTGGCCGTCCCCGCGGTCCCCGGCGCCCCGCCGGCTCGGGGTAGGGTGGGGTGGGCGGGATACAGGGTTTTCAGTGACTGGCGTTGGCGGGGGGTATCCTGGGCCCAGGACGCTCCACTCGAGCCGGCTGCCGCAAAGCACGTGGAGCCCTGGGTGTGCTGGGGCAGCTGGAGGCTCTTCTCCGGGCGAGCCGGTTCCTCCCCGCTGTCAGGCAGCTTTGGGGGGCGCCGTTGAGCGCTCAGGATGGCGACCCCTGCCCGCTCCCAGGGGCCTCGGGCCGTCTGTGCACCGTGAGCAGGACGGAGCCACCCGATTGATTTCCTACTCCAGTGTCTGACACACCTTAGCGGGCGCCCTGGATAGAGTGGGTTGCTGAAGGTGGAAATCCTGTCTCAAGTGAGATTGGAGCGGGTGGATGCAGGTCAGTCGGTTTGTGAAGTGGGGAAGCTTTGATCCCGGCGGCAGCAGAAGTCAGGGGAGGGAAAGGGGCGTCCCCGAGGCCCCAAAGCGAGGCGAAAGCCTCTTGGAGAAGTCTGCCTTGTAGATCAGGCTCGGTCCCGCCCCCACCCGAACAGATTGCGCCCTCCATCACTGCCTCTGACCGCCCCTTGGCTTCCATCTGAAAAAAGCAGAACCGTGAGGTGAGCTGCAAGCTTTGCTCTTACTGTCACATTTTCTCCACAAGTGCCCTGCACCTGCCCCTCTGTTCTCCCAGTCCTGCAGCCTGACTGCTGTCCTGCCTTAGCTGAAGCTGCGAACTGGCTTTCCGTCCAGCCTCCTCCCTCCTGTCTCCTCTCTCTACCCCTCCCAGGTTGTCCACTCTGCAGCCCTCCCTGCTGCCGTCTTTATTTCTGGGCCAGTCGTCCCTTTTCTAAGCGTCTTTCCGTACTTCTGGTTGCCAGGCCCAGCTCATGGCTTCTCGAGCAGCGGTCTTGGGGAAGATTCTGGTGTCTAGTCCTGTCTAGGCTTTCTTCGGGATGCCTCACAGTCACTCAAAGAGAGTCTGAGCCTAGATGGGTGGCCCAGACAGCAGCCCTTCTGTCACACCACACTTGTCTCTGGGTCTTGCCTCTCTCTCCGGGGCAGGCTCTCTCTGACCTGTAGGCCAGAATACAGACGTTTTCTGCCAGCCCGTGCAGCAAGCCTTCTATCTGGCATGTCACCAGGGTGGCCCCTGACCCTGTCACTGACCCCTAAGAAATGCTTTTTTTTTTTTTTCTAAGAAAGTTTCTGGATTTCTGCAGGCCTTTCGGGGCCCATCTCTTTTGCTGGGGTTCCAGGCTTTCAGTCTTGGGCTTCATTCACACTGGTTTCCAATCCTGAATCTTCTCAATTCCCTACACGGGCATTCTTGTCCCTCCCTGTACTCCTTGATTCAGGTGCTGTTGCCTGAGAAAGCTTGATTCCCCTGCCTCGACTCCCACTGGTCCAGGACCCCCTTTCTGGCTATGTCCTTATCCGATCCTGCCATGCCTGTTCCCTGAGGGCAGCCTCTCCGTTCTGTCTCTGGATCCTCAGCACAGCTCACCCTGTAGGTTCAGCTTCCCCCACATTTCTGAGAACTCTCTATGCCATGCCTGGAGCCCGCTACAAACTAAATCTCCCTCTGAGAGCTGCTTATTCTTTCAGATTCCGGGCCTTCTGCTCCGCTAGGCTCAGGGAGGGCTTGGTTACAGGGTGTTCCATGCAGTTTAATCCTGAGCATTCTAGCCTGTCAGCGTCTTGACCGCCTTATCTGTGCTCATTCTGTGTCCTGAGCTGGGCGGTGTACGAAGGGATCCAGCCCCTCACTGGTTTTGTGTTCTTGAAGCACCCACGGAGGTAGATATCAAGACTATTGTTTCCATTCTGCCTGTCAGGATGCAAGATCAGAGAGGGCAGGGACCTCTCTGAACCACACAGCTTGTGGTGGGCAGAGCTGAGGTGGAATTCAGCCGGCAGGCTCAAAGCTGTCTTTAGACACAAGGTTTGCTGGTGGTTCTGAGGTGTGTGTGTTCCACGTCTCCGGCATCCCCTCAGTATCTGGCCCTGGTGTTCAGGGCATACGGGCGGCTCGGGACTCTCCTGGACCCTGGGAAAGGACCTGATAACAGGCAGATGGGTAATGGGGTCCCTGACTCCAGAGGCTGCCATCAATCAGGGAGGCCCTGGAAACATGCTGTTTCCCCATCTGGCTTTAGAGTTGTGGAGTAGAGAGCGATGCCAGGGTGGAGCGGTGGGGTCCTCAGGTCTGCCCTTCCTGAGTTCCCTAAGTGCCCTCCCCCTAAGGACGCTTTCAGTTGCCTTTTGAACCTTCAACTAAGTTTCTTTAGAAGGCTCCCTTTCCTTCTGCTGCAGGCCACTGTCATATGAAAATGAGCTCCTGCTGTGAAATCCCGTTACCATAGCAACCGGTAGTGTGAGGCCCAAGTCTCCCACTCCTAGGTCTCTGCACTGTGTGCTTGGAGGGGCCTTTTCTGTGTTTGCTGCCTGAAGAAATTAAATATTCCCCCTTCACTTTCCCTTTGTGTAGATACTAAATTCTTTTGTTTCTTCAAACCAGTGACTTGTGGGTACTTGTTGGTGTCCCAGCAGGTTGTCGACAGGCAGTGGGCACACCGTCAGTGATGACCTCAGGGGGATGACCCTGGCTTAGGTCACATTTGTGAGGGATACCCAGGGCTCCACGGGTAAAAGCTGTGCTGCTGTCTTGGATGCTTGTCAGGAAGAAGATACAGCAAGCATTCCAGGGGTGAGCAAGCCAGTTTTCCTCAGCCGCTGTCTACAGGCCTTGTCTACAGACACCACCAAGAACAGGGCATCTCGGAGGTGTGAGGGAGACAAGGATGCTCTGGGCAGTGATCACAAGGTATTAACATAGACCAAGTGTGGGCTGGAGAGATGGCTCAGCGGTTCATATCACTGGCTGCTCTTCCAGAGGTCACCGGTTCCCAGCACCTGTATGGCAGCTCACAACTGTGTGTAAAACTCTAGCTCCAGGGTGTGGCATCCACACACACACATAGATAGAGGCAAAACATCAGTGCACATAAAAATAAATACATCTTTAAAAAAAAACCTTAGAAATCAAACAAATTAAAAAAAGAAAGAAAGAGAAAAAGGAAAAAAGAAAGACCAAGTGCTCCCAGATACAGTTTCCTTAATTGATTCTGCCGTTTCCTTATTTCATTCTCTGCCAAGGGAATTTAGAAGTGTTACATTTTACGTGTAAGAAACTTATGCTCCAGGGAAGTTAGACGTTTGTCAGGTAGCATACAGCAAGTACATGATGGAGGTGGGCTTTAGTCCTGGAAAGTCTGTCCTCTGTGGCTAAGATCCTGTGTGCTGCTGTGTGGACAATGGAGGACTGTGATTTAAGGATGAAGGGGGATCGAACAGACTGGCTTTTCTAAGATTCAGGGTGTAGAGCATTAGTTTTCAACACAGTGGACAAGAGGCTACAGTGAAAGGGAACGTTACCAGAGGTTTTAGACTGGCACTGTTAACTAACCAATCAAACCAGAAGGGACTCAGAGTCTTTAGAAACTGGGGCAAATGTAGACACTAGAGCTGCATGGAGGGTGAGAATGAGCTGTCAGCAGCCACACTCTGAGCTGTGCATGAGTCACACAGGTGGAAATCTGAGGTGGCTATAAGTTAGTAGAGCGCTACCCCAGAGGCGGAAGCTGCAGGGCCTGCTCTGTGCTGCCCAGGATGGGTTCAAGTGATCTCCCTGCCTCAGCTTCACCTGGCTTTTTTTTTTTTTTTTAATCTGATCGGTCACATGTTCTGTTCATGCTGTCAGAATTTGTCAACCCCCCACCCCTATGACGCTGAGGACCTTATGCCACTAAGTAAAGACTCAACAACTGAGCTGCGCTCTAAGCTCAGAATCTACTTGCCAGTTTTGGTGTGTCCTTCCCTGTGTCTGGTATATGTCAATAAAATGTACTAAAACAGAAAAGGGGCTGCAGTGAGGCCTACCCTAGAGTGTGAAAAAGCTCCCACAGAAGGCCCACACCTTCACCTCACGGACTTGACCTAGAACCCTGGCTTGTGACAGTGTGAGGTGACTGAGGGTGGACTTCCGTGTGCTGGAAGGAGCTGCTTGGGGGTGAGGGAGAGCCAGGGTTGTTTCTGCTTGTGGCTCCTGCACAGCACTGACTCTCTGCAGAGGAGCTCACCTAACTCCTCGGCTTGTCCCCACCCTGCTCCCAGGATGGGCCAGGGGTGAACGGGTGAGGGTACATGTGTGCACCCCGCCTTGTTACCAGGGTAACTAGTCTTTCTGGGTCTTACAGGAGCCCCAGCCCAGACCTCAGTCCTCAGAGCGAGCCGCCAGCGAAAGAGCATTGCAAGGCCCGTGCCAGCCTGCAGTGCTTCGAGAGCGCCCCTCTGTTCGCACGGCATTTCCATGCTGCTAAAAATACCCGAGTGCCTTATGTAAGACTGCAGGTACCGTGTAGACGCCTTAGGTAAAAGCATTCCCAGACCCTGGACAGTCAGTCACACGTCCCCACGACCACTGTGGCACAGTTGTGAAGCTGCTGGTGGCTTTGCCTGCCCAGGAAGAGAGCTATCGTTGGCGCCCTGCCCCGTCAGCAGTGTTTATGCCTCATCCAAATGCTGGTGTGTTCTCGTCTTTGGGTGTGACTGAGCAATTGAGCTGATGCTAGGCTCTGTGAGAGTTTTCCCTCTGCTGGTTCCAAGTCACTGACTGCCAGGCTTGGTGGTTAGTGCCTTTACCCAGTGAGCCATCTTGCCAATGCTAGTTGGGTTTTTGAAGCAGGGTTTTGCTTATGTAGCTGATTTTGGCCTGGAAAGCACAATCCTGCAGCCTGGGGCTCCTAAGTGTTGCCATCACAGCCATATGTCTCCGTGGCATGCCAAGGCCCTGGGTTCAGTCCCCAGCACCTTCAGAAAAGGGGACTGAGCTGCATTTTGGAAAAGCGTATAGTTTACTGGAAGCAATAACCACGTAAGCATGACTGCGTCCCTCCGAACAGTAGTAGTGAGCAGCCTGGGAGGACGTACGTGTTTCCAGCACAACACACGTAAATGCCTTGGGCTTGTCCGAGGAAGAGAGTGGACTAATGATAAATGTAACGTGGTGCTTTTTCTAGAAATGTGCATATCGGGGCTGGAGAGATGGCTCAGCAGGTAAGAACACGTGGGGCTCTTGCAGAGGACCCAGGTACAGATCCCAGGATCCACATGGCAGCTCGCCATCTGTAATCATATGTAGCTCCAATTTCAGAGGATCTGACGCCCTCTTCAGGCTCCCATGGATACCAGGCACACACACAGTGTACATATATACATGCAGACAAAACACTCATACACGGAAAATAAAAATAAATAGTAAACACGGAAATGGTGTGTACCTTGACTGTAAAGCACTTGCCTAGCATAGTCAAGGTTCTGGATTTCATCTCTAGCACA